CATGCCTGTAGTCACAGCTACTCAGAAGGCTAAAGTGGGAGGATCACTTGAGCCCAAAAAGTCCAGGCTGCTGTAAGCCATGATCTAGGCCACTGTACTCCAGCGTGGGTGACAGAGTAAGACCTTGCCTCAGAAATAAAAAATAAGATTTCTAAATCAAAAGTACCTATTTTTTCATCAGCCAAACAAGTTTCCCTTCCAAAAGCACAGAGTGATATTATTTTAATTAATTACTAGTATGTATTAAGCACTATGTGTCAGATTTGCACTAAGCATTTGCTATGGTCTGAATGTTTGTGTCGCCTCAAAATTCGTATGTTGAAATATAATTACCAACATGATGTTAGGAGGCAGGGCCTTTTGGTAGGTGACTAGGTCATGAGGGCAGAGCCTACATGAATGGGATTAGTGAAGGGCCTTAAAAAAGGGGCCTGCCTTGCCTCTTCTACCATGTGAGAACACAGGGAGAAGGCGCCATCTATGAACCACGAAATGAGTCCTCATCAGATACCGAATCTGCTAGTTCCTTGACTTGGATTTCTAGTCTCCAGAACTGTAAGAAATGAATTTCTGTAGTTTCTAAGCTCCCTAGTCTATGGCATTTTGTTACAGCAGCTCAAACAAAGATAACACTTCACAAATATGTACTGTAGATACCACTATGATCTTCAATGACCTAAAATATAAGGTATAGGGTATTGGTTTAAGATATTTTTGCAATAACGAAGCGGAGATTAGTTAGTAATTCAACTCTTTTTACTGTTAACTGATTCAACTCTCTTCAAACGTAACTGCAGAAAAAAGGGCAGAAACTTCATTAAAAACAGTAGCGCAAAAATAGTGGCCAAACTATTCTCAATTTTTGGTTTTATAACAAGCTGGAGCACATATCTAAAATATATATTCCTGGGCGCCAATGGCAGGCATTTTGGTTTAATGGGTCTTAACTAGAGCCCAGGGACTAGAATTTTTCCCAGAGGTCAGAAACTGAGGGGGGAAAAAATTTAATATACATTACCAAAATATTAGCTAAAATGTTGTTGTGTCAGGCACCATACTAGGTACTCTATACCAGCTATTTAATAATATTTAATTTCAATTCTCATAAACAATTCAATACCATACTCTTCTGATGATGAAAACAAGTTCGAGGTCAACACAGTCAGTAAGTGACAAAGCTGAAGTCTGTGACTACAAAATCCTTACTTCCTATCCTTTAAGTTCTCAGTATATAACATTAGTGTTCCCAGGATCCAGTGGAAATCACAAGTCTATGGCCTAACCAGATTTAAAATAGAAAACTGACATAATTACCTCCCTGTGTGACAATGAGACACACAAAGGGCATGATGGATCCAGAAATGGTATCACTGAAATATTTAGTAATTTCTTGACTCCCCACTACCAATACTGCTGTATAGTCATAGATAAAATTTTGATAATCAATGTCAGGACTCATCAGTGAAATATGATAATGTAATCACCCTGAGTAACTAAAATGCAAAAAGTAACTAATATGCAACACAGCGGTATGAAGTACTGATGTCCGGTAATAACTACTGCTTTCTGTCAAACACTGAGGAGCTTAATGTCTGTCCACATTGAAGAGTTTAAGAGTCTCTCCTTATAGAAGAGCCACTCCTTATCCAGCATTCCTCATCCTTTGAGGCAACCCTCCTCTCCAACACCAACCATGTTATTCTGTTTACCACACAGATGTGCAAGCGACACAGAGCCAACCAATCAGAGCTCCCCATCCCAAGTAACATGGGTGCACAAGTGGGCATGCAATCCAAGCAAGACCAATGAGAGTCTTTTCCTAGGATTCTGTATTTGAGATTACAGAACTAAACCCACAAGGAACAGAAAAAAACCCACGAACAAAGTTTTGTCTTTAATGGAAGAGTTCCCAGTCCTTAAGGTTCTTTGAGCTGCCCTGATTGGAAAAACATGTAGTTTTTCCTCCAATTCTATTCCTTCCAACAACTGTATAACCCTATACAGGTTTTGCTTAAGACAATTTATTCTTCATCAAAGACAACTAATATTACAAACTAAGTAAGGTAATCTAATGTACAGCCTGGTGACTGAAGTTAACAACCTGTATTGTATACCTAAAATGTGCTAAGACAGTAAATCTTAAGTGTTCTCATCACAAAAAGAAGGGGAAAACCCTATGTGAGGTGATTAATGATGTTAACTAGCTTGACTGTGGTGATCATTTCTCAATGTATATGCACGTCAAACTATCAAGTTGTAAGCCTTAAACATATACAATTTCTATTTATCAATTTTACCCTAATAAAGCTGAAAAAAATGTAAGTTAAGTATTACCTACATTTTACAGGTAAGAAATTAAAATACAGGCAAGTGAGACAATTTAGCCAAGGTTTCACAGCAACCAGAGCCAGAATACTGAGAACACATTTACCTGACTCCAAAACCTATGTATTTTCTGATTACTAAAATCATGGCTTCAGACACAATACACAAATGGATAACATATTTCACTGAAAAATTGTTCCTTTCATTTTAAAGTTCTTACTTCAAGGACTTGGAAAGACTTTTCTAAGTATTCTGTTGCCATGAAATTCTATACTATGAATAGTTTTTATAAGATCTGACCAATGACACTTGGTACAAACCTAGATCCCACATTTAAAATAAAAGAGAGAAATAGTAATCATAATCTTTCAAGTAAGATGGTATCAAAAAAGGCAAAAATGCAGTATACCTAAGTACTACTGAAAAGAGGAAGCTGCTGGCTTGCCCCCACAGCCCCACTGCCCACTGAGTCCACTATCTAAACTAGACCCTTATCTTTCTTTACAGAAAGAGCTCTTATATAACACTTAACGGACATAGTTTCTAATCCTCCTCCAACAATGATCAGCTGTGGAATCTTGACAAAATGATTTATACATGGAGAGGTTACGGATTTCTATACCATATCTCATGGTGGCCAAAACAGTTTTTTGTTTGTTTTTGGTTTTGAGACAGCATCTTGCTCTGTCACCCAGGCTGGATTACAGTGGCACAATCATAGCTCACTGTAGCCTTGAACTCCTGGGCTCAAGTGATCCTCCCACCTCAGCCTCCCAAACTGCTGGGAAACACATTCAGCTAATTTTATATATATATATATATATATATATATATACTATATATATATATATAGAGAGAGAGAGAGAGTACATATGGGTTGTTGACCAGGCTGGTGTCAAACTCCTGGCCTCAAGCAATCAATCATCCCCACTCAGCCTCCCCAAATTCTGGGATTACAGCTGTGCCCTGCCAAAAGTTGATTTAGTTCTATGAGATTTCGATAAAGATGTTATAAATGATGATAGGTAAAATGGAGCCCTGAGGTCTTAAAAACTTGTCTGACCTTAATCAAACCATAGGTTAAAACTTGACAATCGAACTTTTCCACGTTGTTCCTCTGCCAAAATGGTTTCTTATGCGCGAAAATGTGGTGACATGTTGTTGTTCATCATATTTTTACTAAGACAGATACACCTTTACTTTTAACTCAGATGTATGCCTCATTTAAAATAGTCATGCCACTCAAAGGATCTAGAAAAGTACAGCATTTCAGTTGACTCAATCCTGACACATAAAACTTAACCTTTCAGCACTGACTCTATTGGATGTTTATTAAAAATGAGGCTCTTATTTTCAAAATTTCAAATAATTTTATAAAAATTAGCTGGCTAAGCAAACACAATTTGTAAAATTTTGTTACAAAATAAACTAAGACCAATGCACTAAAAATGCAATGCTAACATCAGTCTAATTTCATTCAATATTTAATTAAAATGTTGCTTCCTTACAATTCTGCTCAATATAAAAATAATTCCTATTCCATAATTGTAAATGCCTCACAATAACGTACTGGGCCATAAGCAGTTTGGCTTTTTTCACGAAGCTCATTCAAGTCTTCAGTGATTGCTTTCTCCTACGACTGAGAGTCCTGATTTAGAAATTACCCTGACTGTAACCAAATGGCAGGGTAAATACACGGTAAGTCCGCTTTCCATGCTGCTCCTCTTCCCAAACGTTCCCTTTTCATTCTGGGAATGACCATCAATTCTAAATGATGTTAATCAACAACCCACAGCTGACCAATGCTTCCTCTTCCTACAAACCCTATACTTTTCTATAACAAACCAGCATTTGCCAAAGCTTGGTAGCAAGCATTTCAGGTCATTCCCAGAGAGGTGCCCATAAACAAGGTGGAAGTGTCCATGTTGCAAGACAATGCAAACGCTCAGATTTCAAGCATTAATAATGCGTTGACAGAAATTTTTTTTCTATTTATACCTCATGTTAATTCCAACTCTAGCAGTGATTTGTGCAAATCCACCTAAGTCATTATGTCGCTTTTTAAATACCGATCTGTCAAGAAAGATACCTAATCTCACTCCACAGCAGACTTGAACGCCAAGTATCACTCATTTTTCTTAATTTGCTCTAAGTTTCCGAAAAAATTGTTTCTAAAAAAAATTTTTTCACAACCCGCACAAATGCTATTTCCAAGTTTAACTAACCGTGGCTAATACTAAAAAGTGTAAGCGTTAACACAGAAAAATTAGCATGAGACACACACACAGTCCCCAAACACTGAACTAGGGCGCCAGCCTGATGCTTAAATATCTTAACTTGAACTCCAGCGAAACAAGAGAGAATTCTCACTACCCAGGAAGCAGTAAGGCTTTTGTGGACACCTCTCATTTTCAACGAACCCTCTTTTTTAAAAAGTTGAAAATTAATTTCTAACTGCTTGAAAGGGCGCATGACTGGGTCAAAAGACAAACACAAAAAGTGTGGGACGCTCTCAGGCGGGAGCAGCGCGGGTTTAGCCCCGGCCGGAGGGGAAGGAGAGAAATGAGGGATCAGAGACCGCGGGAAAGACGCGGCACCCACCGGCGAGCGGCCCGGGCCAGACCGAGCCCCGTGCCCCGCGCTCTCCGCGTCCCCACACCGGGAGCCGCCCGTACCTGTCCGACCCGCCGGGATGCGCCACGGGGCCCGCGCCTCTCAGGGTGCTGCGTCCGCCGCCCGCTAGCCAGGAAGCCACTGCGGCCTGCGGCTTCCCGCCACCGCCGCCCGCTCCTTCCTCAGGGGACACGGCGAGCTGGCTGAAAGCGTAAAGGAGCGAGCAGAAGCCGCAGGCCAGACACAGCACCACGATGCGCAGGTAGCGCCGCATCGCCCCGGCCGCGTTCTGCCGTCTCCGTCGCCGTTGTTGTCACCACTGCGCCCGCCAGGGCGAACTGGAGCGGAGAGAGCGGCACCGCGCAGCCGCGAGCGCAACAAGTTCCTCCCCCGCCGCCGCCGCCGCCGCCTCGCGCCCGCTCTCTTCCTTCCCTCCCCGCCCACCACCTAGGCGAGCGTAGCCGCGGCGCCCGGACCCGCTGACAACCCGCCCGGAAGCCAGGACGCCGCCTCCGCGGCCGCGCGCCCCTGGGTCAGCGACAGAGACGCGGCCCCGCCCCTCCCGCGGGCCGGGGGGCGGGCCTGCCGGACGCGCCGGCGCACTGGCGGTGCGAGAGACGCAGGGCGGGCACGCCGGGGGCGGTGTGCGTGCGCGGAACGCGGTGCGCGTCGCGACTGCAGGGAGCGCCGGCCGACCTGCGGGTGTCTCGGTACCCAGAGGCTCTGGACCGCCGAGAGAGGTGGAGCGAAAACCTCAGGGCTCTGGAGGCAGTTGACCTAAATGCTAATTATGGTTCTTCCACCTGGCAGTTTGTGACATTGGGCAACCTAAATTCTGGGAGCATGTTTCTTCATCCCTAAAATGGAGCTGCTGTCCTCATCATGGGGTGGTTGTAAAGATTAAACTGGCGCACGAAAACCGCCTAACACTTAGAAGGCACTTGACTAGGCCTCTTTCCCCTTCTCTCCCAGGCTCTAAGTTTCTGTGACGGTGTGTGCACGAGCTATTTTCAACCAGATAATCTCATTGTTTCGTTTGTCTGGTATGCGGACCTTGCCTCCCAGTTCCCTTAAGGCAGGGCTCTTTCCTTTGACCTTCCGCACAACTCATTATTTACATGTGCAAAACAATTAGTACTCTCCCCCACATAGCTTCTCCTTTCGTCCCCAGTTCTTCTCCCTCTTCTTCAGCTGTTCCCACTGCGTTCATTCATTGACCATTTAAAAGCATCACTTGTGCCAAACAGCAAGTACCTAGGGGTATAAAGAAACATAACTGGAGCGTACGTGGGACTGCGGTTACTTGTAAATAAACGCAACACAATGATACAGAGTTAAGACCCAGGCCTGTAAGGGTGTGGCAACAATGAGCTTTACCTGCGAGTGTGGTCAAGAGAGACTTCATAGCTAAAGGTGGCGCTAGAATTTTGAGTCAGGTAAGGAAACTAATTCCAGGCTGAAGGATCAATAAACAGGCTCTTGTGCAGGGAACTGTGAGAAGTTTGATACCACCAGCTAAGTGAATGCAAGAGAGGATATGATGAGTGATAAGAGTGTAGAAGTAGAAGGGGTCAGATATTTGAGTGCTTTGTTTAACACAGCAAGGAATTTGAATTTAATCTGCCAGACACTAGTGAACCATTGAAGTGTTTTTAAATAGGGAAGTAATATGATCATATTTGCATTTTAGAGCGCAGATTCTGGCTATAGTGTGGAGGCCGAAACAGAGAGAAGAAATTGGAGGCAGAAAGCAGCTCCAGTGTCAAAAAGTGAGGGAAGGGACGCTTAAAAATACACACACACACACACACACACACATTCATGGGGGAAAATGCAGTTAAACTTCAGAAACAGCATCTTGGGCGTCAAAAAGTTTGGCTATGAAATACAAGGTGGGGAAATGCTGCACAACATAGAAGTAGTCTCCATTTAGATCCTCAGATCCCTACACCGAAATAGTAGTGGTTCTGTGACCATGAGAAAATCACTAAACAAATTTAAGGTTCACTTTCCTTTCTTGCTTGCTTTACCTGATTAAAAAAAGAAAACTAGCATGCTATCTAGATGTGTAAAGAGAATGAGAACATACACTTACGCATTGAATAAGCATTTATTAAACATATTCTACATGCCAGACAAGGGGCTCGGATGCCGAGTATTTAGAAATAAAGGACTGTATTGCTCTCAAAGAGAAGACAGGCAAATAAAAAGCATGAGAATACTAAATTAATCCTTCCACTACACCTTACAGTTCTTAGAAAAATGAAAATAAACTTAAGGAAGTACACAGAATGATAGGAAAAGCATTGATAAGAATGATATAACTTTTGAGAGAAAGCTGAAGGATATGGTACCAAGAAACTAAAGAACTAGTACTCAAAAAACGTTTAATTTAAAAGATGCTAACTATAACTGTTCTCTGTTTCAACAGAGAAGCTAAACATAGTAATAATTAAGAATAACTCCTTGACCCACAGATGGTTAAAATAATGGAATAGCAAAAAGAGAAGCCAAGCAGTTTTCATTTTTGCAACAATTTTATGAAAAGAGCATATCAGGAAGAATAACCACTCATTTATTGATGTCAGGGTGCTGGACCATATCATCCCTTTAGACTCCTTCTAATCCTGTACTCTTCTGTTGAAAAATTACATAAGCCATTCCAAAAATAGAAATGATTTTTCTGTTACTGACACACCATCTTAACTGGCTAATCTTGGAGCTGCATGCACGCTTGGATCCCCTCTATTAACAGGATTTACACATTGCATTTTGATAATCCTAAAATTAAGTTTATGAAAATGATTTAACGTATTTGATGTCACAAAATTTAGGTGTTTCTTTCATTTACTGCATGAAAGTATGTATTCCTAAAACTAGGAAAGAAAGAAAAGAAATAAAGAGAGGGAAAGAGATAAGAAGACTCTTCTTACCCAGTTTCCCAAAAATTGAAGGCTGAAAATAATTAAGAATTCTGTTACTGCGCCGGGCGCGATGGCTCAAGCCTGTAATCCCAGCACTTTGGGAGGCCGAGGCGGGTGGATCACGAGGTCGAGAGATCGAGACCATCCTGGTCAACATGGTGAAACCCCGTCTCTACTAAAAGTGCAAAAAATTAGCTGGGCATGGTGGCACGTGCCTGTAATCCCAACTACTCAGGAGGCTGAGGCAGGAGAATTGCCTGACCCCAGGAGGTGGAGGTTGCGGTGAGCCAAGATCGCACCATTGCACTCCAGCCTGGGCAACAAGAGCGAAACTCCGTCTCAAAAAAAAAAAAAAAAAAAAAAAAAAAGAATTCTGTTACTATCACACTTCTATCTGATCCTTGACTAAACTCAGAATTATTCTTGTTCCCTCATACCCCTTTCTATACAGAAATTACATCACTAGGTAATCCTGTTATGTTTGGTTTCTTTTATTTTTATATTTATATATTTTATTTTTAATAAAGTAAAAAAAATTGCTCTCTTTTCTAATTAAGTGCAAGTGTTTCTTGAATTATTTATTTTATTCTGTGCTAGAAAACATAGGCTTTTTTATTTTTTCTTATTAGAAACCAAAAACTACCTCTGGGGCCTAAGGCCAGATCACTGCTCTTTTCTTTTCTTTTTTTTTTTTTTAGACGGAGTTTCACTCTTGTTACCCAGGCTGGAGTGCAATGGCACGATCTTGGCTCACCGCAACCTCCGCCTCCTGGGTTCAAGCAATTCTCCTGCCTCAGCCTCCTGAGTAGCTGGGATTACAGGCACACACCACCATGCCCAGCTAATTTTTTGTATTTTTAGTAGAGACGGGGTTTCACCATGTTGACCAGGATGGTCTCGATCTCTTGACCTCGTGATCCACCCGCCTTGGCCTCCCAAAGTGCTGGGATTACAGGCTTGAGCCACCGCGCCCGGCCCACTGCTCTTTTCTTCTGGGAACTCAGCCTACTTTCTTTTCAAAGATGCATTCAACACTAACAGCTTTCACCACTGTTACTCAACATACTAGTGGAAGTCCTAGCTAGAGCAATCAGACAAGAGAAATAAATAAAGGGCATAGAAATTGGAATGGAAGAAATTGAATTATTCTTGTTTGCAGATAATTATAATCTTATATTTGGAAAAACCTATACACTCCACAAAAAAAAAAAAAAAAAAAAAACTATTAGAACTGATAAATTCAGTAAAGTTTCAGGATAAAAAATCTACATACAGGCTGGGCACATTGGCTCACACCTGTAATACCAGCACTTTGGGAGGCAAGGCGGGCAGATCACAAGGTCAGGAGTTCGAGACCAGTCTGGCTAACATGGTGAAACCCCATCTCAACTAAAAATACAAAAAATTAGCTGGGTATGGTGGTGGGCACCTGTAATCCCAGCTACTTGGGAGGCTGAGGGAGAATTGCATGAACCCAGGTGGTGGAGGTTGCAGTGAGACAAGATCGTGCCATTGCACTCAAGCCTGGGCAACAGTGCAAGATTCTGCATCAAAATAAATAAATAAATAAATAAATAAATAAATAAATAAATAAATCAACATACAAAACTCCACAGCATTTCTATATACCAAAAGTAAACAATCTGAAAAATAAAAAATAATCCCAAATCCCAATTAAAATAGCCACAAATAAATACCTTAAAATTAAGCAAAAGTGAAGGATCTCTACAACGAAAACTATAAAATATTGATTAAATAAATTTAGAGGACACAAAAAAATGGAAAGAGATTCCCTGTTAATGGATTAGAATCATATTATTAAAATGTCCATACTACCTACCCAAAGCAATAAACAGATTTATTGCAATCCCTACCAGAATACCAATGACATTCTTCACAGAAGTAGAAATAACAAACCTAAAATGTAGATGGAATCACGAAAGACAGAATAGCCAAAGCTATCCTACTAAGCAAAAAGAACAAAACTAGAGGAATCAAATTACCTGACTTCAAATTATACTGCAGAGCTATAGTAATCAAAACAGCATGGTACTAGCATAAAAACAGACACATAGACCAATGAAATAGAACCCAGAAGCCAGACACAGTGGCTTACACTGGTAATCCCAGCACTTTGGGAAGCAAAGGCAGGTGGATCACTTGAGGCCATGAGTTAAAGACCAGTCTGGCCAACATGATGAAACCCTGTCTCTACTACAGATACAAAAATTAGCCTGGCGTGGTGGTTGCACACCTGTAATCCCAGCAACTCAAGAGGCTGAGGAATGAAAATTGCTTTAACTGAGGAGGCAGAGGTTGCAGGAGCCAAGATTATGCCACTGCACTCTAGCCTGGGTGACACAGTGAGAGTCTGTCTCCAAAAAAAAAAAAAAAAGAATAGGAAAAAATAGAGAACCCAGAAACAAGTCCACACACCTACAATGAACTTATTTTTGACAAAGGTGCCAATAATATACATTGGGAAAAGACAATCTCTTCAATAAATCGTGCTGGGAAAACTGGATATCCGTATGCAGAAGAATGAAACTAGATCCCTATCTCTCATCT